ATGAAATGTTTAAAAGCTAACATAAAGGAATAACAGAGATAATATAAATTTTATTTAGGAAGAATAATTAAAAAAAATTTACATAAATTTTTGTAAGAAAACTTCATTGATATAGTGGGAAACTTAATGCATCAAAATAATTCAAAACGAATCTTACAGTGATTTTATCGATTTATTAATTTAAATAATTATTTGAATTAATATTTGTATTTTTCCTTGATTTGTTTTCCGTCGATCTTGTTTTCCGTGCTGAGCACCAATGCTACTGACGCCAGGGAGGCAGCTCCCACACCTTGACCCTACCTATCGACCCATCAACTCATGAACCAGGGACCAACGGCTTTACTTCCCTTCCGAAGGAAGGCGTGATCAGAAATGTTATGCCTCAGAACATCCCTACGGCGAATTAATATTTGTATCGGCCAAGACTCATGCTTGACGATGAACCCATGAATGTTTCCAGAAATATCTTTAGCATCGGCATGTTTCTTGGAATTCCTCACATGTTTGAATATTGACAATATCTATAAATAGCAGAAAAGTGCTAAAAGATCACTTCATGATCAGGATCGCATGATCTCATAGTTTTAATCGATCCATTACTAACCGGTTAAACGTTGTTACTTAGTGTAAAAATTGCAGCACTGGCTTTATACTCGATATAGTGGCAATAATCGGCTTCCAGTCTATGCTCTTGTGTATAACACGAATGAAGACAATCACGATCGTATCGTGAGAGTAACCGCAAATAGCATCGTGCACTCCGTGAGCACCTGTTATCTACTTCGCTCCATTGGGTTCGTCGATGACAACGATGACGGTGACGAAGGTTGGGTTTGCTTTTTTCTCCGTAAAACAAAGTTAGTTTGCTCTTTATCCAAAGCCACTCCAACTATTATGAGTTACGAATCGTCGTACATTATAAAAACACTCGTCGTACGTTCAATGTCGCTGACGACGGTCTTCTAATTGATCGGTTTTGTATTTGTTAGCATTGGCATTGTGTTGAACTAGGCGCTGAAGTGTTGTAGCACCCGTGTCGCACATATTTGCTCATTTGCTTTTAAAGCCAATCAACGCGATTAATTGATATTGTTTCTCTAATGAGGAATATGGGCAATGGATACTTTAATTTCTGGGTTTCTCTTTTGTGTAATAATTTTACAGTTCAAAGTTGTATTTCTCAAAGTTGAACTACCCACCAAAACCTGGTTTATAAATAGCCAAGCGCGTATCAGCTTCAGAATTCCCCAAAGTGGTTAAAACATTTCCATACACATCCTGCATTATATGTTATCCATTCCTTCAGTCGTTGACACCATACAGGGAAACGGGTCTTAAAAAATCGCAGCACGTTCTAAGGATGAATCGCGTCACTGTCTGGCGAACCCCTTTCGAAAGGTAGCACCACCTTATTCGAGAAATTCAAAAAAATCACCTGATCCATCTGAACGTGCTCGGGACAACCAGGTGACCAGGTGAATATCAATTAATCGTCCCATTCCCGATAATCAACGTACCGCCGGCCGGTAGCTACGCGGATTCACCACCCGGGCCCTGATGAGCTGTGAGAAGATAAAATTCAATCCCCAAACAATGCCGCATGCTTTGTCTTGGTCTTGGATGGATGCGGCAAACTAAATGTACCTATGACAGCAATACAAAGCAGTCACGGTATTCAAGCTGGCACTGGTGGCAGTCATTGAGGAATAAATGGAGTGATAGACCTGTGAACCGATGGATGAGCTATCCCATCAATAAGTTTAAACATGGTTCAAGTTAGTAAATTTTATCAATACATAATATGATAGGTAAATCGAAGGGTGGAAAACAAATTTTTATAAATATTTTCTCGACCTTCTCCAATTTGCATAAAACTTATCGTAATTGTTCGTTATGGGCAATCATTCTCATTTGTGCTAAAATTCGATAGTATTTTAATTTTGGTAACCATTTTTAACCATTTGGTAACCAGAAATGTCAACATGAATCGACAAGAATTTTGCTCGGGGCTTTTTCGGGTTTTTCCGTTCTGGTTAGCCAACCACAATCGGGGTTTTTATCTCTCTCAAATGAAAGTAGATAGCCATAAATTTTGAATGGTGGCTGAATCATAACGATTGATCATCGCATTGTCGAGAACCAGCCATGTCAACCATGAATCGACACGCTGTGTGCAGCTTTGGTACTTTGAGGAAGTTTTGATGGCTTGGGGTTCTGTCAGTTAAGCTCGTGATTTTGCCATCTCCGACCACTACGATGATCTTCCAAAGCATGCAAAATGACTACCGACTCGGAAGATTATCGTAGCCCGTCATGTGAAGTTTGATGAAATTCGTTTCCCATATGCTGCTTAACCGGATGAACCGTCCAAAGCTTCACTAGTCCTCGTCTTCCCGCTAGACAAGAAGAGGTAAATAATAGGAATTGTTCAGCGAGATACAACAGACGGTGGAGATCATTTCGAAGATGCAGATGATCGATTGTTCCAACATTCCGATGATGACACCGAAGCTCAACACGTTTAACCAACACCATCAGCGCTCCTATCGCATCCAGAACTCTACGAGTCCGACGGCTAGTTTGTTGGTTACAGAGCAACTTCTGGCAGTCCATGGTCCATAGATGTCTCACAAAATTACGATGAGATCACTACACGAGGCTCTCAAAGAAACCAAAGTTTGTCATTTGACGTCGTGTCCGAACGGTGAAACACCCCTGATATCCAAATGGGTGTATCGGTTAAAAAATGACAAGAACTGTAATCCGGTTCGCCACAAAACTCGGAGGGTTATCTTTTGCACTTAAGGCAAGCTTGGTCACAATTCTAATTGTTTAGGCTATAGAGTTCACCCCAAGTTTCATTTCCATTAAATGGATGTACTAACAGCCTTCTTGCATGGTCGCCTCAAGGAAACCCAGATGGATTTCCAGCTAATCCAGGACAAGTTTGTCGATTGACGAAGTCTTTGTATGGCTTGAAATACTCACCTCGATGTTGGAACGAGCGATTCAACACTACACAAGCTACACAATACTCAGGGTGGGTAAACATTACAACCCCATGCTGCCCACTGCTCTTTCGAATAGTATTGAGGTCCTTAACAACTGTGTAAAGTTTAAGTAAATTGAGTTATGATCTGAATTTGCGGGAGATTTTTAATTTTAAATGGAAAAATTCAAAAATTGCTCTTTTTTGACATTACCTCGGACTTAGATTGACAACTTTGTTTAGTGTTCACTCGGCTGTCGACAAAAGCAGGCCACTCTCGATGTGTGCTACGCGATCGTCTGTCTCGGCAGCAACCATTGTGTGGTCCTCCTCATTGTTCTTCATCAGCAGTTCTTTCGGTCGATGCGTCGTCGACTTTGGAAAGCAACCGTTTCGTGATGAGTGTGTGAGTGCTGACCACATTTTGCGTCCATTGCTGCAATGGACGCGCTCTGACCCTCGTTGGCGTACAACAATTTGCCATACAATGAAACTACTGGAAGCGGCTCCAGTTCTGATGGAGGAGGCTTTTTGGATAGCGGAAGATAAAGTGTTTATTGTGTTGTACCTTTTGACTATAGCTTTAAGATGTATTGTATAGTGACCAAGAATCCTCGGCTCTGTTAAGTTAATTCGGTTGAGCCTTATCAAATAAATTAATAAACAAAAAAAAAACAACTTTGTTGAAGGCTCCAAATTTATTTGACTTCTGTGTGTGTGTATGTGTGTGCTTGCCACACAATATACAAATTCATGCATTGGTATTGGCATCGAAAGCTCTCAATTAATAACTGTGGAAGTGCATTTAGAACACTAAGTTGAGAGCACGCAATAAGCTAATATGCGCTAAGCAATAAGCTTGAAATGCGAACAAGAAGAAGAAGAAGTGTGTGTATGTGTGTGTTTATGCATTCCCTGGCCGGCAGTGTTATTATGGAAGAACTTTCTCTACAATGTCGCATTTATGGTCAATGTAGACAGCTTTAGTCCGGGAGTTAGAAGGTGATACAGTACTTGTTCTAGCTGGGCTAAAAGCGCAGCCCAATTAGCGAATTCCACTAGCTAACTGGGCTGGCTTGTTAAACGTCAAAAAACATTAAGGGGAACTTCAATGGATTGTTAAATCGACGTTAAACAATTTCACGTGCATCGAATTGAAACAGTTGTTATTGTAATTTTTACAGCATTCAAACTCTCGAGTTTAGAAAAGCTTAACGCTTTCGCTAATACTGCTTTGCAGTCTAGATTTCAGTGTGGAATGAACATAATTTCAAAGTTATTTATATTAACACTTAATATTCCATTCGAATGCCCCCCCCCCCTCTCACAAATTATGGCAACGAAATGTCAAACTAAATGTGACATGTAGTTTTGATGTATAACTGCTAACAGCCCAGTTAGGGAACAAGTACTGTAGCTCTATTGTAGATCCAGAAACCCATTTCCGAATGTCTGGAGAGTTAGTATCGTATCCTTTCACTTCACCGAAAATTCCTATAAGAAATTGTCAATCTTTGCTAGAAGAGATGGTTTTTCGACGGTGCCGAAAAAGTTAATTCTTACAGTTACAATGGCAATAATAATTCTGTCAATATCACGTGAAAACTTTTAATTACAATGACAGTTTTCAGCACTAGTTGTTAGTTCTTATTGATTGAAATTAGCGTTGATTGATGTTGCGCAAATGGCAACAACGGAAACGCCAGACAAAGGCTTAAACTTCTGGTTGACAATACATAGTAAGGTGAGAATACGTTATATTATACATTTAATTCCATGCAAAGGAAGTGTTAGTGATATCGGAAATTAGTAATATGAAAGTTCAACTTCTGGGTTTGTTTATATATAATTTATTTTGAATGCATGCACATACTATTTTAAATAAGTATTTCGAAATCGCTAAAACAGGTTCAAGTTTTGGTTTAAAATCAATTTTATTTCGTCGACAATAATTTATCGTATTTATGAAAAATGTTCCTGATGTTATCTACAATACGGAGCACCATTCGCTTCGCAACGGACGAAAATATCTACTTTCTATGAACCGAACACTGCATTTGAACTTTAGATTAAATGCGAATTATGTCAATCGCAATCGTGCGATTACTGTCTGAAGCTACCGTAGGCCATTGCGGCTAGCAGTGCCATTGCAATAGTTTTAATCGACACAATAATGCTCATGGCAGCATCCGTGTGGTGTCTGAAATTGCATCCGTGTCCATCGCAAAGGGTGCAGGATTGTTCAACTCGGCAGAAATCGCTCTGAGAGAGGCATCCGCGCTCGACCGTACCATCAACGACGCTTGTGAAGCACTGATCTTCCGCATCAAAGAATCGACAAAGTCGGGGAGTTGTTGTAATCTCTTGTCCACAGGTATCATTGGCCGCTCCAATACACTGATGGCAGTGAAGTCTGTGCTCCGGGAAAATCTAAAAAGAAAACATTCATTACATTCAAGGTCACTCGACTGGTGCATTCCATGCGTGAAGTGTTCAATCTGGTTATGATCGGATTCATACGCCCTTGGGACAATGTTATTTATTTATGTATTTATAAATAACAAATGGAATCAGCAGGATTTCCTCTTACCAGTCCGTTGCATCGACCTTGGTTTGCAACGTCATGACAGAGCTCGCAATTGGTGTCACTGTTGCAGTTGGTTAAATCTGCAACGCTCATGGTTGCCGAACAACCTCGCTCGATTTCACGGTCTGGTGATGAAAGGAAAATTTATCAGCAGCATTATTATGTAAGAAATTATTCATAATTTTTTGGAGGACTTACTGACTATCCGAGTGAAGCAAGTGTTGTTGTTTGCTGCGTTACAATCCCGCATCAAGAGGGTTCCCTCGGGAGACAAACAGTACGGGTCTTCTCGGCTGTTGCAAACGAAGCAGAAATCTGTGGATAAATACGGTTTGTGAGTTTATGATGCATAATTCAATAGCATACCCGTATAGGGTAGATGTTCCGGTACTAGGGGTGTACCTATAGATGCGACATGGTGGTTGTACCGGAATAATGAGGGAAAATCGGATAAGGTTATTTTTTATCGATAGTTCCCCTAAAATAAAGCACATATGCTTGTTTCAAACTTACAATTAGCCCAAAATTGACGGAAAACAATTAATTTGCCTTAAGATTTTGAATTGTTTGCACCTATAGTTGCGGTAGTGTTCATATAATAGTGGAAACCAGTAGATACCAATTCGTTCCACTATAATAGGAACCAAATTTAGCAACTATCACTACTACTGGAACAGTGTTCATATTAATGGAGGACGAGGTTTTGAAAAATTTAATCCTAATGTTGAAAGCTTTCTGCTTATTTTGACGTACCGAAAAACGGAGTAGCTTTGCACATCAGTTTTTTGTTTGTTTTGGTGCTACTTCGATAATATTCAATGACTGTAGCGACAATGACACGCGTGAATATCAAACAATTTAGTTCAAGAAATATGACATTTTGAATAAGTACACAATCAGAAAACATCATAAGTAATAAGAAGATAACATTGAATTTGTGATGGTAATATTGGAAATACATGCAATAAGAAATTGATTGAGTGCTTTTTCAATCAGGCGAAGAAAAAATACAAAATTGTATATCGTAAAACGAGGTCTTTGATACTGCGGGTAGCTTTGATAGTAGAATATAATTTTAGTTGAAGATGCTAATTTCGAATAACTGACTGAAGTGGTAATTTTTATACGATACATGAGGAGGAGATGAAAGTATAGAATTGATAGTTCCGTTTAGATTACGGCAGTGTGAAAATTGCATATAGCGAGTAGATAGCGAGCTAGGACAACTTTTAAGGAAGGTACAAATCGGTTTTATCATCTCTCTTTACCAAACTCCCCCTTTGGAGAAGGATGGTGAGGGGTCCCCCCCCCCCGCCACCACTGGCAAAAACAAATACCACTTCAGTCAGTTATTCGAAATTAGCATCTTCAACTATGTAAATCGTTGACTTCACGCAGAAGTAATACTAAACATATAGTCAAAGTACATAACTCTGATTGGGAGCATACTATTAATTACTGTCATTGGTCGAAAGGTACAGTAGCAGCACCTACCCCACCCGTGCCCCCTCGAGATCGTCAAGTCGACGATGACAGGAGCACATACCGTGGTAGGGGTAAACAATAGCTGCAATTTCCAAACCTACGACGATGCCTTCCTTCGAATAACAACTGGAGTGCGGTAAAAATCGGTAGAACTGTTACAAACACATCGTTGGTACTTGAGCGGTCGGCGATCATCTCCTTTTGCCATTGGTGACGGGGGTAGGCACCCCTCACCATCCCTTTCCAAAGGGGGAGTTTGGTAAAGAGAGATGATAAAACCGATTTGTACCTTCCTAAAAGTTGTCCTAGCTCGCTACCTACTCTCTATATGCAATTTTCACACTGCCGTAATCTAAACGGAACTATCAATTCTATACTTTCATCTCCTCCTCATCTATCGTATAAAAATTATTTGAAATTAGCATCTTCAACTAAAATTATATTCTACTATCAAAGCTACCCGCAGTATCAAAGACCTCGTTTTACGGTATACTAATTTTACGCAGATCGTTTATTTATTTTTTAATATATAAACTGTCTTAGTTCCTCCATACTGGAATCACCCACCCTATCATTATGACGATGGGTTAGGACGATGAAAACAGAAAGTTCACTTTTCTATAGTGATTCCCATTTGCCAGTGCAGTATGAGGTCGCATCCAAATAAGTTTAAATTTTGAGAGGATCAGGATCCGATTTGGAATCGATTGGGCTTGGTGGAGCCAAATCTTTATTTTGAACCACCCTAATGTCCATCTTTAAGTATGTCAACTGATTCGGCTGTCTGTGAAGTTTGGAGGGGAGGAAAAAATAAAAAGAAAATTGTGTTACTGAATAGTGTCAGGTTTTAAACGCTTATTACTTGGCAATTTGTTTATGGATTATTATTTTCAGTGTACCCTTTGAATCAGATTTGGTGTAAGACTTGTGTGGTATTACAATTAAAATTATTTATGGTTGCATGGTTGCCTTCGAGGGATTGACTAGATAAAAGGATGCTGTCTTTGACAAAGTTGTTCACATGGACATAATCTACAGTACAGGTGGACAGTACAGTTGAGAATTCTACCATCTCGTGGCAATAGTGTGCCATTTGAGTTGCCAATGTCTGCTCGAATAGATAGAAGGTTTCTACCTTTAGTAATTTTTCTCATAGCCAATACCTAATGGATGGTGAACAGATCACCCTAATAAAATTATTATGGTTATTTTGCTTAACGACGTGTTTGGGGTCGTTCGTTTATGGTATTTGTTTATTAGGGAGTTCGACGCTAGTGTACAATTTGACATTGAATCTTATGCTCTGCTTTCTTTGGCAAAGTTGTTCAGATAGTTGACTTTAATTGCGGTTAGGTTGTTGTTGTAGCTCGATTAGATAGCTTGGTAAAAGTTGTTCAGATGGATGATAATAGTTGGATTGAGTTGAGTTCAATTCTGTATTCATTGACAAGGTGATGTTGGTGCTTAACTTGACTTTATCTCAAAAACCACCTTGTGTCATTAAATGCTCCAAACATTCCAGCAGACTAAACTAGATTTCTAGAGTTGGTTGGAAATGCTTTCTAACATAAAGGTTTAGTGTGATAATTTATTAGCTAGAGAATGGTAGATAGTTCCGTTAGAGTACGGCAGTATGAAAATTGGATAGACGTTGCAAATGAGCGAAGGGCCATTAATGCGACAGTACAAGTATGAAGTAACATAAAAACACTTTGAATTATTATTATTATTTAACTTTATTAATGAGGCTTTCAGCCTTGGGCTGGTTCGCCTCCAAAAACACTTTGAATGTAGATTTTCAGAATATAATCACTTTGAAAAACTATTAAAAGGAATTGATGAGCATTTCATGCAAGGTTTCGCAATTGTGTGAGTTCAGAGTAATGTTCAAAAAACTCAAAAATTCAAGTCTCGAACTTGAAATTATTCGCCTACGAGGTTTACCGTGCGAAATGTAACTGCGCAAAAATCACCGATTAGTTTTCGGGTTCAAAAATTCATTGCTTCATATTTGTTAGTCGTCAATCAGTGTAGACCATTTTACAATAGTTGCCTTAAGTGCTATTATATGTTCTGAAAACAGATTTGGAATTAAATATTGCTTTAATTTGTTTTTTGTCATTGTAAAGTTAATGTATTGCATGTGTCCAACATTTGGTTCAATGGTCGAAATTTGGCATAATTCGTACGATGGCGGATTGTCGCACATATATTTTGGCGTTGCTCATTGGTATGGTAAGATAAGTGCCAGCTTTTGGTCCTTATGGTCCCCTAAATGCCCCTATTTTAAATTAAAAAGTTATTCATGCTTTCCAAAATTTATTTTGATACAATATTAGAACATATATTTTACCATATATCTTTGCAAATAAAATCATAAAAATGTATTTCAAATTTGATTAAGGTCCTACGGCCAGCTTTGAGAAAAGTTCAATACCGTAGAAAATGGCTTGCTCTTCGGCGAAAGACCCATTCGGCGAAATGACCAATTCAACGAAATGACCCATTCGGCGAAATGACCCATTCAACGAAATGGCCCATTCGGTGAAATGACCCATTCGGTGAAATGATCCATTTGGCGAAACGTCTTTGGCGAAACGTCCTTCGGTGAAATGATCTTCGGTGAAATGATCTTCGGTGTAACATCTCTCGGCGAAACGTCCTTCGGTGAAACATCCTTCGGTGAAACATCCTTCGGTGAAACATTCTTCGGCGAAATGTCCCGCTCCGCTCAACGATTACGTTTTAAGTGGTACCTCTCTCAAACGTGAGATCACTTTGAAAGATCTTGGAGTACTTCTTGACTCTTCACTGGCAGTCGCATCACAATTGGGATTCATTTTTCGATTCGGCAAACATTTCAAGCATGTGTATTGTTTGAAGGCATTATGTTGCGCTTTAGTGCGTTCAACGCTCGAGTATTCTGATGTGATGTGGGTGCCGTAGTATCAAAACGGGATAAATAGAATCGAAGCCGTTCACCGGAAGTTCACACCTTACGCTCTTCGTCACCTGTCATGGTATGACCGTACTAATCTTACCAGCTATGCTAATCATTGCAGGTTGATTCATCTTCATTCACTCATCGTTAAGAGAGATACTGCCAAAGCTTCTTTCGTCAGCGGTTTACTTACATTCAAATTTCGATTGCCGAGAGCTTCTTAGTCAACTGAACGTGACGTGCACTTCGTTCGTTCGTTTTTCAATATAGCTAAATCTGCACACTTCGAAAAAGTTTTGTAAATTTCTGTTACTATGATGCACATAAATGGAGCGTCATACATCATGCAAGTTTACATTTTAGATCATGTGAAGTTATGATACATTTCATGAAATAATCCTAATATTGTATGCAATCATCCGGATTTGTAAGCAACCTTTATAACAAGTTGCTAGTTTACGTGAAGAGGAAGTTTATATGTATGAATGTTTGCATGCATGGATGTTTGCATCACCAGTAATATTCCGCATTTTTTTCTGAGTAGGACTTATTATGTAATGCACGATACCATCAAGAGTGTGTGCCGTGATTTTGACAATAGTTTAGAATGTTTCGATTTTAACTTGTCTAGACGTTTGATAAAACATAAGCTTGTGAGAGCTCTATCTGTTTGATGTTGTTTTTACATGTTACTTAATTTAAGTTAGACATTGTGGTTGTTTTAACCTAATAAATAAATATTTTATAGCATGCTGAAGGACCACACTACCATTCATATGGTGTTTGTTGCGTTCAAATCAATGTAGTGGTAGTTGCGAATATGATCTTACCCTTAGTTTGACTTCCGTTGATCTTATTTATGAATTCTCATGTAATTGGAATGCATATCAGAATGGGTTTGGCACTTTTCCGGTCGGGTTTAGTCTCATAATCTACCCAACTTACAGTTTTAGCTGCAAAATTACTTATACAGGAAAACATTAACTGAATAAGTCAATTTTTTGTCTGTATAAGCTAATCTGCAACTAAAATTGTTAGTTGGGCGTACTCATCGGAACATGTTTTGACCATCCGGAACCAGTAGAATGGTTTAAATCATATTCAAAAGTGTGCTATGAGACCATGGTACCTTTCATTTGGCGTTTGTTGTATTCTGAGAAACCGATTTAAGCCAATTTTTACCTGTATGCACCGGAATATTTTGCAGCTTTATCTCTGGAACTAGTTACCCTTTTATTCGGCGTTTGTTGTGTCTTATTTTGAGCAGTGGTTGCTAAGAAACATATGTCGGAAAATTGGAAACTGTATTCACTAGAATATGTTCTGTCCATATTCCCGGAACCAATTTATCGATATCAAAAATAGTCAATAACATTATATGAGACTATTGCCCCGTAACGTGGGTAGATCACCTTTTCGTGGTACGTTACGGGATGTAAGATCTGCCACCGATTCCTAGTCCTGACTACTTCAAACTACGGGAACAGGATTTTACAGTAATCAAAGGAACACATCTTAGTCCTTGTTACTTTTTATGCCTTGTTGATAGTGACAAGACTCGGCTTTGTCCACCGAGGATGATCTTGAAACAAGGAAAAAATGAGTTAGTTGGTCTTCATCTATGTGATTCCTAATCTTCTATTCGTTGTTCCCTAGTTTGAAGTGGTTAAGACTAGGGTTCTGATGCATGGTCACTATCGGTGGCATTCTTTAATTTTGTTGCTAAGGAATCCAATTTTGACTGACAAAGGGGCGTGCCTTTGGAGAGTGTTTCAACACTCCGACGAGTATAAATAGCGGGACCTTTCAATTAGAGTCGGATCCTTGCGATAAATGCAAGAATGACGACAATAAAAAAAATCGAATACTCGTCATTTCTCAATAGTCATGGAGTAATACGACATGCATTAAACTAAGGACACGGGATATACTAGAATAGATCAAATTACTGGTCGCAGTGGTGTTTGGTCCTGAACCTAGGAAAAAAATGGCACCTTTCATTTGGTACATGTTGCGTCCATGTACGTTGCGTATGTTTGTTGCGTGGTGGTTTTCGGAACTTCGGAACCAGTGAACTAATTTCTTAAATATGCGTACCTGTCGTTTGGCATTTGTTGTGCCCAATGTGGTACAGTGGAGGCTACGAAAATTTTGTCGCAAAAACATACAGACATTGTCCGATACATGGCGTGAAATCCGTTAATGGGAGAGGAGTTGTGTTTATATTCTCTTAAAAACTGCCAACGTTGATTGTGGATATAAAAGGTACCTCATTCAATTTACTAACCTATGTTAATATTTTTACACGAGACGTAATTCAGCTTTGACGTATATCATGGAACGTAAACAAACATGGCATGTAAAATTAAGTGTCCTGAAACTGAAACATATGCAACTCGACGAAAAGTGCGTTTGATTGAATTGATTTTCTCGTCCTTTTCAACTGATTCTTATGTCAAAAGGGCCGCTTGCATGTGTCGGTCTCAGGGCACTGAAATTAACATGTCTTTTTCGTAGTGTGTATGCTTCAATATTAGACCACAAACGTATATTATGTTACCTTTTTGTTAACAACTTAGGCCCAACAGAGCTCAACTGACATTGACTCATACGTTTTGAAAATCTGATTAAGTTAGGGTGTGACACTAATTCGTCATACTTCACTTCACTTCGGTACACCCCCTTTTAATCTGAAATTGGTCAGCCCTGTAGAGTTTGTTTTGCATTAGTTGCAATCATACTTGTGAGCAAAGAATTGAATGCATAAATGTTATATGTGGTTTTTTGTCTTCATTATTTTTGAGGCGTATGACGAAAATGGGTCCCATATGCTACACTCTATTTTTAAAGTAGAAGTCAAGTTTTTAAATCGATGGAAACAACCGGTATTCAAACATTATCGGATAATATAATAAATTGACATTATAAACCTTCTGATCTCCACCATATGACACTGATTACGAAGGCAAAATGAATTTTATCACGACGAAAGTAACAATTTTCGTTCTATCACAGTCTTGTAGGCCGTGATTTACACTTCAGAAATGCTTTAAAAGATGCAATGCTAATAATTCCATTCCTCAGACTTGGGTATTGCACCGAGGCTACGCCAGACAGTTTTTATCGTGGTTCACTTAATTGAATCCAACTTCTATTCGACAGATAAATGTTCCAGCGTGACAATGAAATTAGATCATACCGTGAGTTGAAAACCTTTTGTGAACCGCAGTTTTCGTACACCAGTGTGGTTTATCGTGCGAAGCCTGCGTTTCCTGTCCATCCGTTATAATAGGTCTATTAATAAAGCCTACCGTTCAATATTTTTCGTATCAGTAACCAGTAAGTTTTCCCCCCCAAAATGAAGAATAAGCAGAAAGTTCAACTTGGCACCCCAGCAAAAACTGAAAAGATCGGCCTCAGTACGAAACGCAGAGAATCAAATTTACGAACGTTGCCACAGCACCTTGGATCGTTATCTTTCCATGGCTAATGTTAAGCACAACCCTTATCTCGTTAATCACACTCTCTGTCGTTACGTTAGGTAACCAACCACACACTATCCCTCGTGAGTCAATATCATGTCGATTTAAAAATTATCGATCTTGAATTTGATTCAATTGGCAAATAATTTAGTTGGTTATAGGGGTTCTTAAGCGTTGATTGATAAATTGAAGAAAGTCGGTTTCGGTTCTGTATTTATGAATAAGACAAAAAGCCAGAACATAAAGGCCAATATAGATTGACGCTTGATTCATTGGAAAGACTAAAATGATTTTTCGCAATTCCGCATTCATCACTAGGAAGAAATTACGTTCATAACTAGAATAAGCGTGTGCAAATAACTATTTATGCAACAAGTTGCGAAAAAATTGTCATAGCTATTCCATTCGGCAAGGCTCGTTAGATAAATGAACAACTCGTGCTAAAGAAATCTCCATTTTGTAGCTTGTTTCATAAATAGCTATGTCGGCACTCAGTGCTGAAAAGTGTCACTTTTGGACGCTGTTTTGAATAGCATAAAGGTCTACTTTTCCTAATTAAAATAACAGTGTCGAAAAGCACCCAAAAGTTCTATTTATCGACACTCTTTTGAGTGAAAAAAATGTGGTATGCAACTCGTTGCAAAATTTGATTTTTTTTTTTCAGGTCATTCATCCAGTGAGGCTGCCGAGTTAAAAAATTACGACAAGTGCACTGAAATAATGGATTTTTGCAACGAGTTGCACCACTCAAAGGAGTGCTGGAAAGTAGCACTATGCGGCACTAATATTTTAGTTATGAAAAGTATGTTGTTATGGTATTGCAAAGGGTTCCAAAATCGTACAGCGTATCAAAGAATACAGAGAAAATCTTCATTTTTCAACTTGTTGCATAAATAACTGTTTTGGTTCCTATTAGGGAGTGAACATATTCAGTCGAAAAGCTCAAAATATTCGATATTATTTAGTTTTTATTGGGATAAACTTTGCAAATAGGGTACGTGTCCCAGTCTTGGAAGTTGTGCTCCAGTAATTGGCCCTTGGGTCCAGCAAGTAAAAACATATGTTTTCATGATTTTAGTCCCGTAGATATGTAACAAAATATATGTTCTAATCATCTACCGAATTTAGCTATGTTAAAAATTTAAAAATTTTGATTTTAGGACTGGTTCACTTAAACGAACACTAAGATAACTAACTGGAGCAATTTTCCTATACCTAAGTTATCTGAATTTTGGCTCCTGCTAGCAAAGATTTTTTTTTCCAGTGCCATCAAATTTGGGCCATCGTAAATTAATGTTCCGTACAGACACTTATCTGAATATACGGTAAATTTCTGGTTCAATGTTACAGACAACACCCTAATTTGTGAGCTACCGCTCTATAAATGAGCTTGATAGATCGCCAACCAAATATCCAAATTTTGCGCAGTCAGCGTTGTCTCCATGAACGATCAGCACCAAAAATTAAACTCATTTTACTTACTCGCACTCACGGATGCAACCACGCCCGTCAGGGCGACCACAAACAATAGATTCTTCATTGTACACTACTCGTTCTAATTAATATTCACACAGCAAATTTGGAATAGCCTCGGCAGAGCAGTACGATGACCACGTTTTTCGGACGCCAATTTTCACTCGACTAACGAGCAGTTGAACCTGGACAATCCTTTCGAACGCGGCAGAATGCTTACCGGGTGTAATTTTTATTTTCGGCCCATTTATCTTATCGGCAGGCGAATGCTTAGGCCGGGTGTAGAGATAAACAAACGAAGGAGTTGCTAGCCAGCGCGCTCGTTGGGTTGTGCGATTGGAGTATTTACCCATGAGAGAGTTCTCTGTGAGGGTAAATTGAATATAGATGGATCGTGTTTCCGAATTGATATTTGGGGATAAATATTATGGTTAATGTGGATATATTCTCACATCTTCGCCAAACGTTAACCGAGTCATAAAAGTATTCATGAGCAATTCATGCAAGGCTCAGGCGTAGTAGTATGACGCGATATTCTCGCAACGCTCATTGAACGGCCGGTGCCTACCTACGCCTATGTCTGGAACACTCCCGCCGAACGGAACCGAATACGCAATGTTTACTCGACACACATTGCTTAGTCTTCTTTCGAAGTATTCATTCTCTATTTGCGAACTGGAAATGTGGACTAGTCATCGATTTAGAGACGCTACAGTGCCGACAGAAAAATTCGAACAATCAAGAGTAGTATTACAAGCTCAGTCTTAAATTAAATCACTTTCTGAAAACCGTATCCGTCAGAGTAAATGTATGTTTGCATCTCTGCCGAACTATAAATGATCATTTAAACTGCTTAAGGGAGAACAATCCATAATGCACCACTGGGGTAAAATGGCCCACGCTGATTTTCGTTGCTTTTACCATTACTAATTCTGGGACTTTATATTCCATCCTACCCTTAACCTAACATGCGCTTGATAAATTATAGAGAAAGTTTCTCACATTCAAATTTGATATCATTTACAACCCTTATGATCTGAACCCTACAACTTGAGAGTGATAACAGTCAGTGTATAGTATCGAGGACTTGAGCAGATAAGAAATGATAAAAAATCGATTTTTAAGAAGTCCGGATGACGTTGACGTGACTCATTATCTCTGTTGTTAGCAGTTTCGAATTATTGTTTCATTCGCGTTGTGTTTGAGATAACATTTTTCTCCGCAAGAAAATGATGTGTCAGATATACTGTACTTACTTACAAGTGAACAGTGCTCCCAAAGATGAATTTAGGAAGGCAAAAAATGTTAGCGCTTCAGCCATTATTTAGTTTTAGCTAAACATACACTTTCAAACAAAAAGAGATTGCAGGATGGTTGCTTCACTAGTGCTGAAGGAGGCTAGAATAGTCATTTTCTAAAAATCGATTAAATGCAATAAACCTGTTTTTTTTAATCGATTGAGTAGTGTGGAGCAAAATTGATATTTTGAAACACTCTAGTGTGCATGTGTGTTACTCACTCACTTTTCTCGGCAACGGCTGAACATATTTGAGTGGAACACGTTCCAGTTTGTGTTTTTATTTTAGGGCTTTATCAAAAGTTTATCGCAATTGAACCTGAAATGTAAAATTTTGCAGAAAAAAAAGTAATACTCACTCACTTTTCTCAACGAATTGAATTCCATCTCAATTGAACATTCTGTTCCGGAGATACAGTACCATACTTAGCAGGTGGCAAAGGTGGCATTTGTCACTAAAAAAGTAAGAGGTTGTATCCAAGATACGACCGTAGATTTGACGTAGGATTACGTACTCGGTATCAATATTTGGTGACTGCGTTAGGGAAACAAACCACTTTTTCCCATCACGGAAACGCCTCGTTTTCTGATGACAAAATTACGCGTCTTCATGCACAAAACGCGAAGAATTTTTTGGTTTATTCAATAGATAATAAAAAAAAGTGAAAATTGATCGGAGGAATTTCTTGCAAAACTTTTCCAATCCCCAGATATTATATAAATTCGAGATTTTTTTTTTGCTTTTTATAGCGTACTGGAGAAAACCTTACCTTAATTCGAAATGTTTCTGGTGACCTATTGAAAATCGATAAAGTGTGAATTTTAGCAATCGATTGGCTTGTTTAGAATTACAATCCAACCGCTATTGACAGAGTTATAAGTAGTCAAAACCTGACCACTTTTCGTAACGCGGTCGATTTTGGTTTTTTGAAATTGCACCCCCAATATATTTCCGAAAGTCGAAATCCTTCTTCAAAAATTCTGAGTAGAGAAAAATTGGTCGAATGTTCCTTGAATTATCACTTTTGATTTCTTCTTGAAAATTTTCTCTACTGCTACGAAGCTCCATCAACTTCTTCCAAGTTCCATAATTATTTTTCCAAGACATCTTAATTTGAACAAAATCTCAAAACGTTTATGACCTTCTCTAAACTTTAGGTAAGATCATGAACCATTTTTACGAATTTCCCTAAATGTTCTTTAATTCGTTCTTTCAAATTCCAAAGTATATGTCGACTGTGACCAATAGAGTGATGCAAATTTTGAAATTTTCGCTCCACAATACTTAAACGATTCCAAATCGGATCCTGATTAACCTCTCAAAATTTGAACCCATTTGGTGAGAAACTGAGATGGCACAAACCATTTGAAGTTTGTATGGGAATTACTATGGTAAAACCAAGATTTTTGTTCATGTCTATCTAATAATTCACCATATCGGTCTGCTTCAAAAACTTTCAACTTTACTTGTAGGAAATTTTCCCAGCTACAACTTTGCTCAAGACCACTTTTTGATTAAATGCAAGGATCGAAAGTTATTAATGGTTCAATGCACTAATGTCTTATGATCATGCTCAATCAACTGCACAGCAGGCAACATTGGTGTTTCTGGGGCGTTGAATAGGACACAAAAATTATGGCTACTATGTCACACTGCAAAATACAGTGTTGCCTACAGAGCAGCTGCTTGATCATGTAATAAGTTTACCAATCTCTTAAATAATTAATAACTATTTCCTGTCTCGTTTTACATAGAAACAATCTTCAGCAAAGTTGTAGCTGAGAAAATTTTCTATAAGAATAGCTATCGAGCTGTTTTGCAGCTCAATATGGAAAAAGACTAGAAGGCAATGAACAAAAAGTTGAGATTTCCCATAGTAATTTACATGTAAACTTCAAATGGTTTGTGCGAAGTCTGTTTCTAACCAAATGAGTTGTAACTTTTGGAGGCTAATCACGACCCGATTTGAAACCATTTAAGCACTGTGGAGCGAAAAAGTCAAATTTTGCATCAGTCTACTGACCATGCATAAAGGCGTATACGCGATGATCGATTCTCTTCATCGATTTTCTCTTTGCATTGCTACAGCTAAGCGGAACAATTTTCTAGACTTTGTTCAATGCAGAGTTTTAAGGTACTGCTGCTATTAGTGGAAAAGCGCTACGTACGTGGGAGAATCACCACAAAGGCGGTGGTGGTCGAAGTGGTAGTCGAAGCAAGGAAGCCCATGTTTGCTTTCACTATAAGAAACATTTGAAGCGGTTTTGTCGTGCGTTTCAGAAAGAGTATGGTATTGGAACTACGAAGACCGAAGGAAACCGTAATTCGAAGGACGATAAAGCGAAGCATGTTTGAAGTGTCGTTGTAAGTCCTGTGGCGTGGATCGCTGGTTCACCGCTCCGAAAAAAATAATTCGTTATGATTTTTCTAAAAATATTTAAAAAAGGTAAATGACGGCTTCGGCATGACAGACTGTTTTCGGCAACCCAAATTGAAACACTATTTTCACTGGATTTTCTTACGAAAACACTTCGCTGAATGCATGCAAACGATTCTTTATGCTTTCAGCTTCAATTTGACTATATTTTTACCACTGAGAAAAAGTAATCTAGCAAGGTTTTCTTGAAATGAAACACACGCACTACAGCTGATTTCGAGTTGCCGATAATAGAACAGCAGATTTACATGCAGTTCAAATGGAACGGTTGCCGAAGAAAAACTGGTTGCCGACAATACTCGCTCTCTCACTAGAGAAGATTGGAGCTTTGTAAAAGCGTTTCAAAACAGTTTTTGACAATCCTTTCGACTGAAATTGTTAGAGCAGCTGGCAGCAAAAGATTGTAAACAAACCAATACTGCATATGTGTGCGTTCCTTAGAGAAAAAGGCTATAGAAAGAAGGTCGCTGCTTAGGTTGCCGAGAATACGTAAATTCCCCTATCAAAAATCCAACAAAATCGCATTTTTTTTTTCTAATTTTTCAAAGAAAATTCACGCGCAAAAACATTTTTTATGAGTCATTATGGTGTAAATTTGGACTCAATAAACTACAAAACATCGACTTTTCGGTTTTGCTGAGAGTCAAATTTTTTTCATGATGAAATAGAAAAAATATTTTTAAATATAATTTTTGACAAAAATCTAAGGAAGAGACTGATATTCTTTGATTTTTGATAATTTTTCCCAATATTTTTAGAATAATAAACGCATTTTTATTTTCGGGCCGGTAAACTTCCCCATAATTGGCGTGAACAGTGATTGCAGTCCCATCGACTGATGTGTTGTTTGTTCCCAAGTTGGCAAGTGGGCCGGTATCAGTGAGTACGCTAGCGAGTAAGGATTTTCATGTTGTATTCGTCGACAAGAGATGCGAGGTGGGCAATGCGAGTGGGGAGATTACGGCAGTTGCTGACCGCTACGGCAGTCTGTATATTTAGATTGCAAAGCCACGAACACGCGATCGTCAGTGTTCAACCATCACATACGTTGGAATGCCAGCATATATAGGCGGCTAGGACACCGTCACCCAGAAGCTGTCAAAGACATGTTTTCGAAGGGACAAGTTGTAGGCATGCAGTTAGTGGATTGTCGAGTTTGAACCACAGGCCAGTGTTGCCTCGAAGGGAAGGTGGCGCGGACTCCGTTTCCGAAAAGGTGAGCCGTGGCGCTAAATAATTGTTGGATATAGTCCTTACGGATGTGAGCGCCTAATCAGTATTTCTTATTGTTTATTGACGATTACACTCGAATGGCATTCGTGTTCCTCTTGAGACCCGACTTTCGTTACTCCAAAGATACGGGTGTTCGTGGAATTTTGCTAGACGCAGGTTGGAAAAACGCCGCGTATTCTACAATCTATAGGTGGTGGCGAATACATCGGTGGTGATGTGCAGAAGTGAAGGG